CACCGATTCATTAAGGATCAATGTGGCTCTTTAGCTGCTACATAACTCCCTGGCTGGTTCCCCGGCAAGTTGCTTAATCTGTCTGTGATTGGGTGCTGCTGATTTTTGCAAGAATTGATGCTGGTGGTGAGACTGAACCATAACTGTGCAATTGTGCTCCAGAAAAAAAAAAAAAACTACGAGACGGGCTTAAAAGGCACCTATGCACTATAGGTGATGCTTTTCTGTGGATTTGTCACAGCAATCAACACCTTTAATATTATACAGAGTAATTGGATTTATAATGTCAGAATAAAAATATACATTTGTGCTACTTTAATGTTTATGTGAATCTAATCATGATTCACACATTTTAACCTGTACTGTCTCATTTTATACAAATAAACAAATGTTGTCAGAGAACTTTGAAACAGCAGTTAAGTAGAAACACACGCGAGGTCCATGTAATTACCTCCCTGACTTCCAAAGCCCTGTGAGTCATGGCTGAATGAGTCCTGTGTGAAAATCCTGATAAATCCAAACTGTTCTGAACCTCAGTCCTCAGATGAAAAACTCTGGAATAAGGGTTTTCAGTCGGTGAGAAGTTCTCCCATAGTGCACTCTGTTCAAGTCAGCCACTGATATTTCAACAAGAATCTTCTCTTCTCCTCTGACACTCAGGTTTGCATCGGCCCCCTGATTCAAACACTGGCTCGCAGCGGGCCCGGTACCAAGCCTGGGACTGAGAGGCTGGGATGAGGAGGAGGAGGGTGTCCCTGCTGCTTCCTGCTGGGCTGGTGTCCCTGCATTCTGGGTAATGATGCAGTGATGAGCTACCTGGCTCTGGGAGCACTGAGCTGGTTAAACATTCATGGAGCGCAGGCAGCAAACGTTCATTTCAGTGCTTCACCTGAGTGATGAACAGCTATGCTATGTGTTTAAGGACAAGTGTGTGTGTGTTTGTGTGTATCTGCAGATATGTTACACAAGGATGTGGTAACTGTATCCTCACAGAAACCCCTCCTCATCCTCCTCCCTACAAAATTACTGCACAAGTATTCGATTACTGATCTTTGATTAGGCAGATGCATTTCAAACTAATTACTAACTGCTCATTAGAGACACACACAGCGAGCGGACCAATTTCAGATCCTCTGACATCAGCCATCAACACCACAAATTAATTACACATGTAGTCATATTCTAAATTAAATATTTTCAATCCTCTGACAAAACCTCAAATAGAATTAAAATTAGCATTAAAGTAATAAGGGTATGAAATTATAGAATGGACTTTACCCTATTTTAATAGTTTCAACACATAAACCAACATAAATGTTACCAAATGTAATTTTTTTTAAATATTCTTTGAGCATTTTTTGCCTTTATTTAAAAAAGTACAGCATAGAAGTGACAGAAAGTGAAGGAGGACAAGATAAAGATGGAACCAATGCAGCAAGCCTTCCAAAATTGAATGCAAATTATGCAATTGGCAAAATTGACATTACACTTTAAACATTATTCCATCCTGGTGCGTTTGTCTAATCTTTCTCTTATGTTTCAGTTGTGACGGGCCTACGGGCCGAGTAACGTTGCCCTCAAATTCCGTCTGTTTAAATTTTAACATTGTGCTTCCTGCAGGCATCAACAAAAGGCATCTTACGTTACTGCCTGAAGATCGGCCGCAACACGCAGTGACATAAGAGAGCATGCTGGAATAAACCCCCATTAACATAATGTAATCCATTATGTAAGTAGTGATTTTGAGGATCCGCTCCATCGTTGAAGAAGCTGCTTTTGGAATGTAGGTGCCGGATAAAAACACAGACACAGCTAAAGGTCACATCTTATTGATTGGCAGTGCACCTTTGAAAAACCTAATGGTCCCTAAGGATCAGTGGAGTATGATCATTTGGATTCTAATGAATATATCACGTCAGCATTTGTGAGTGTTTGCTAATCATCAGAGGGGACATACGTATATTTATATAGAGAGAGACTGAGCAGAATCTGACACTGCTATGTTGATCCCAATTCATCTTTTATTCTACAGGAATGTTATTTGACCAAAAACTGGCATTTTGGAATTTTATTCTTTAAATTTCACACACAAAGGAGTTATCTGTTCTGTTAAAATACAGAGTCAATGAACTGACAATGTCCTCTTTTGGATTTAAGTCTCATGTTTGTCGTCCATCTATGAAGCACTGAAGATATTTCTGACAGTTTTGTTTTAAAGACAAATACTGTAGTATAAAAAGAAAAAAAGACAATCCAGTCCAAAGTGAGAAAACATTGTAGATTACGAAAATGAACCAACAGCTCTGATAATAGCTCTGATTGTTAGAACTTGTTGGATATTAATGTAAATGTAACTTCTTAGTTTTGGTTCCAATGCACAAAAAAAAACTACTTTTTGATAAACTTTTGGTTTTGGAGCATAAACATGTTTTTCTAGTGAAGCAATCAAACTTCTCTACTGCATCGATGTTCACTGCTGTTTCTGCTTAATTATTCATAAAATAACTGTGTCTGATGAAGTACATTATAATATGATAAAACATATTTTAAATAAAATCTTTTGCTTTCAAAAGGGAGCATTAAAATTCAAAAAGACTAAGAATGTGAGCATTAATCATCAACACACACTGCATTGATTGTGTGGACCAGACACAGTTCTTTGAAGCTGCTGTGGTCCTCGCCCCTGCAGTAAAGATTCACAGTGATAGTGTAGTAATAAGAAAAGTTGAATACTTTAACTGTACGAACTCACACACACACAAAGACACACACCTCAACACCATCACCATCAGATAAGAGAAGAATAATATGGCCTGCTGCAGTCTCGTTTCTAAGGACAAGTGTCCTTGATCCACCACTTGTCCAAATAAATATTCACAGGCTCAATTAGGCCCAAACAACTAAACTTCCAACTGATCCCTTATTCATGTGAGCAAACAGATTGCTGTCGCAGGAGCAGGACTCTGAAGGCCACAACAAGCTGTGAGGATATTAGTTTCCAAGGGACCGAGGACACAGCATCACAAAACCAACTGATTTAGAGATTTCAACATCAAAGCGACTTTGCATGCAAATGAAATGATAACAGCTTCAATATCTGTTACCAGGAAAGTTCATTCACATAATGCATGAACATTAATCTCATTGGACTCATATTTTAGTTTTCAAGCATGAAAAAGCCCCAAATCTTACCTCTGCGTCCATGTCGCAGTTCTGTATGTAAACCTAAAAGAAGCTCTGCTCTGTGTCTGCGTGAGTGTGTGTGAGTCTGTCCAGGCAGCCGATGGGACCGCAGGGGATGCTGCGAGGACGAGAGATTGGACTGTAATTTCTACCTGTACTGTATTTATGGCCGTCCCATAATGCAGCAGCCTCAGCATGTCCTCACTGTGTCCTACTTTACTTTCATTTTCAGGTCGACCTTTTTCACTTGAAAGGCCTGAGAGACTCCAGCAGCTGTAGATACACTTTATTTCATCTTTTTTTTTAAAGATATTCTAATGGACAGGAACTACATGATGTAATATGCTGTAGAAAACTGGTTCACCAGTACAACACACTGTCAAACAGTGGTGCCATGTAACTAAGTACATTTACTCAAGTTAAAGTACTGTATTTAAATGGAGCGAACCCTGCGAGCTAGTTCAGGCAGCCAACTCAACCTTATTAGGCGGCCTGTTTGAGCAGAGACAAAATTCCCATCAACCCCTTTGCTCCCACTGCTGTTGCAGTATCACCACCAGTTGCCTCAGCCCCTCCACCATCCCAGCATCCACCTGTAGGCTCTGACAGGGGGTTACAAGTATTTCCTCGTCACTCCCATCATGTCTGTGTAATCATATCGGGGGAGTGGTTAAGTAGGAGCCTAGACACCAAACACAAACCTGTTCTACTGCAAGAAAACATTTGAACTTGAGTTGTCTGACTGAAATATATTTTTCACATTGTTTTATTTAACTGAGTAGATTTACTCCACTGCATTAACATACATAGGGGATCATTGTTCTATTGAATCCACTGACGTTTCTCATTGCAAAAACATAAATTAGTATAAAATTATTAATAAAATAAATTGTTTTGATGGTTCCATTTAAATAACTGCTTGTGCGGTAGCAGAACTTGTTTCTTATTTGTCGTCTTCCCTATCCTGTGGCCCGGGCCCAACTTTATAATTACAATTCTCCCAGTACAGTTTTTCTTTATTTCATTGCACTATTTTATTATCTATTTGCACTACTTGTACTTAGCATACAGAACCAGCTGACTTGTGTACATATACTCTAATGGTGTATACTTTTTCATTACTGCATATCCTCCATTCCGTCAGGACCATCCACAATTATACAAAAGTATCTTTGTACAAATCTTTTACTTATTTCTTCTGTATTTTATTGTCTCCATCCGTAGCCATGTACATTCTGATACTTTTTACTTAATGTTGAATGTAGACCTTCAGTTTGTAATGTACTTTTACTTTTACCAAGGTTATGGATCTGAATACTTTGCTCTTAGCATGGTGAAAGTGTATTTATCTGGTTGTAGGTTTCAGTTTATTTTAGTCCAGAGTAGAAACCTGATGAGAGAATAGTACATTTCATCTTCGAACATTATGACCGAGTGACACAAACAACCACAGGCAGTATGAGAGCACAACCTGCTGACGGCTGCAGGCTATAACAGATACCTTAACTCACTTTACTCTTCAACCAATACTTGTATTTCTTATACTTATATATCCGTATAATATGCAACCTCTCTGTGGTCCTGAGGGAACGGGGTCCTAAAACAAACACATTCACACACTTTGTTTCCCTAAAATTATTACATTTAGCTTTGATTAATCTGCTTGTTAGTTTTCATTTAATTTAATTTCTCACTAAAGAAAATGTTGAAACTTAAATATCTGGCTTGGTGGTTGTTTTCATCACACTATTGAGTCAGATTTCATCTTTTAAGGAAAGGTGAAGAGAATATATGTGATGAGGCTGAAATATTTATTCATTTATCTTATTTGTTTTTCAAGTTACAAAGTACTTCACGCAATAATAAAAACACAAATAGGTCAAATGACCAGTGTTGTTCTATTTTTAGTCTCGTCATTCCCTCTTATCATCTCAGTGAATCAGTCTCGTAGCACATGTTTGCTCACAGGTGTGACTCGTCCCCTCTCGTCTGTGCAGTATGCTGCTCTCTGACTGGTTGACTCTGAAACCTGAAACAGGTACAGAGCGGGTTTGGTGAGTTTTGATTGTGTTACCTTCTACAGCACACCGGTGTTTCTGTGGGTCACTGTAGACACTGACTCTGAAATGGATTCTTTTATGAGACCTGCTCAGATCACCTACAGGAAATGGAGGAATCCTGAACTAAGGTAAAACCATGAAATGTTGGGATTACACTCCTCCTTTGGATGTAGATTATGCTCAACTCCTATTTATTTGAAATGTTGCTCTCCTTCCTCTGTGTCGACGTTCAGGTGTGAGGTGGATTTTGTGGCTCACAGTGATGAGTCCCAGGGAACAGAGAACGAGATCTGCACAGTGACCTCAGCCACCAGAGAGTCTGCACCCAGCAGTGCGTCTGATCATCGCACTGAAGGTTCCTGTTTACTTTCTCTATATAATCTAAAAGTATGTGAGGTTTTTCAGTATACAGCTGCCAGCACTTTGTTGTTATATCACTGGATTATTGTTGTTGGAGCATTATGGGAGCAGTAACATGATGTAATTTGATCGGGGAGTTGAATTCAACTGTTTCATATATATTTTTTAGTAGTTTTGTACATATTATCCTCTGTATTTTTAGCAGTTTAACATATATGTTTTGTAGTTTTATATATTACTTCTTAGTTTTATATCTAGTTTTTACTATGTTGTTAGTAGTTTTATATATTTTAGTATTAATTTACAGTATATATGGTGTTTTGCATATTTTTAGAAGTTCAAGACAAGAGTTTACATATTTTTTTATATATATATACAAATAAAGTCATTATATATTAATGTATATATTTTATAGAGCTCATCTTATCTATCTTCAAATGTTTAGGTTTAAATTGTTGTAATATTATATTATATAATGCAAATTGTATCAATAGAAGTAGGAATAGAAGTAGAAAGTAGAATAAAATGGAAATATGTACATTTAAATATCTAAATAGTGTACTTAAGTACAACATGTCTCTCTGCACCACCTGAACTCCAGTTCAACAACTCTCCTCTGAGTGTAAGCATTGATCTGAGATCTGTTGTCTGCTATAAGTCTGATGAGCTTGTGCTGTGCTGGAGTGATTTATCAGCAGCAGCATCAATACATCGCATGTTGTTGCATTTATGATGAAAGTAGTTCTTGCTTTCTTTGGATTCTCGATGCATTTGTTCAGCGGGTAAGAGTGAACTCACAGTGACCGTCATGTCCCTTGAACAGAAACTCTTACAGTGGAAGATGCACTGGACGCCATTGGTTTTGGGCCGTTCCAGTGGAAAATGTCGCTCCTCACTGGACTCTCATGGGTATGACATGTCGTCTCTCCCTGATTTCCATGCGGCCACTGTGCGTCTGTCGTGTAACGTCGTGTCTCTCTGAGTGCAGATAGGAGACGCCATGGAGATGATGATCCTCAGCATCTTGGGGCCACAACTGCACTGTGAGTGGAGGCTGCCAAGCTATAAGATGGCTCTGCTCACATCGGTAAAGTCTGTTCCGTTGGGATTCTACAGCTTGTTGATATTTATGAATGATAATGTTTAACCTTTTCTGACTCAGGTGGTGTTTGTTGGGATGGGGATCAGTTCACCTCTCTGGGGGAAATTGTCCGACAAGTATGGCAGAAAAGTTGTGAGTGTTGTCTCATTTCTCAGGTCATCACATATGATTCGTGATTTTTTTTTTTAATTATCTCATGTACTTTTGTTTCTGCGTTGAACAGGGTCTGGTGATTTGTATGTGCTTCACTCTGTACTACGGCCTGTTGAGCTCCATAGCTTCCACGTATGGCTGGCTCTTGTGCTTGCGGGGCCTTGTAGGCTTTGGCATCGGTGGAGCTCCTCAGGCGTGAGTTCACTGTTTCAAGACGAGACACCTCCATGATTTGTTAACATTAAACAGCAAAGATAAATATTTGGTCTCTTTTTAGGGTGACACTCTACTCAGAGTTCCTCCCAGCGAAGAAGAGAGGCGTCTGCATCATGCTGATTGCGGTACTGTGGTGATTTTGTTATTAATGCAAGATTTGACAGTGTTCTTGTATTGAATTTTTTATCTGATGGAGTAAAACAGTTCCTTAATTCCCACCTGATTGATGTGTTTGTGTGCATTAGATGTTCTGGGCAATCGGTGCTGTGTTCGAGGTCCTCCTGGCCCTGTGGATAATGCCGACGCTCGGGTGGAGGTGGCTGCTCGGCCTGTCCACGATACCAATGGCCATCTTCATTTGCTTTTGCTTTGTACTAACGCTATATTTACAAGACAGATCCCTAAAACAGATCCAGCTGCAGTCAAACTCTCAACCGAATGTTCTGTGTCTTGTAGTGGCTGCCTGAAAGTCCTCGTTTTGATGTGATGACGGGAAGGAGCGAGAAAGCCTTGGTAACTTTAACAGCCATCGCCAAACAGAACGGCAAGGCCATGCCTAGGGGGAAGATGGTCGCTTATAAACAGGTGAGGTGAAAGATGTTTTAAGGATGTTTTAAGAATGTGTAAAAGAAGATATGTCAGATTCTGGAAGACGGTCACGTCTAACTTCTAGCCCTACTCATCCTTTACAATATTCTGAATGACCTATCACATTTTACTTTAAGCAAAAAATTTGTGCATGCGGATTTATTTGTATTTTTATGTTTCTTTGGATAAAATTAAAAATTATATTTTACAGAATGACCGTGGACGGGTCAAAGATCTCTTCAACCCTCAGAATTTGAAAACAACTCTTCTCCTGTGGTTCATATGGTTAGTTTTAATCACACTTTCTACTCGAACAAAGGAAATTGTTTGATGGAGGTTGTATTACCTCAAGTTTGTTTATGTGCATTTATTTGTGAGTATCAGCCTTTAAATTATTACTTTACTCTCGTTATAGATGTGCATTGTAAAGTTTTAAGTTTTAGTTCTTACAGTTGTTGATATTTATGTCTCTGATTTACTGAAACCTATGGGCAGGTCATATTACACAAGCAGTTTTTTTGTATCTGGGACACCAGGTAAAATAATTGTGAGACTTCCTTATGTGTGATCAAAGTGATGGAAGCAAAGTGTTGTTATTTTATCCAAAGGTTTTCAAATGCCTTCGCCTACTACGGCATAGTCCTGTTGACAACTGAGATGTTCCAGGCTGGAGATTCATGTGGAGGTAAGTAGCAGCTGCTCCAGGTGGATCTGCTTTTTACCCTTGTCTTAATTGGAGCAAAATACCCAAAATAAAAACCTCCCTCCTTCCTTATAGTGACGCAAGGGGCAAAGATTGAGCCAAGCTGTAGTCTGGGATGCAAATATTTGACATCGGACGATTACAAAGACCTTTTATGGACGACGTTGGCTGAATTCCCAGGTGAAGTACAGTATATTAACTTTTTTCCCATCAGCTGTCGAGTCATAATTGGAGCTTTGAGGTAAAGACACTTCATGATGCTGTGGCCAAAAGCAGCATTAAAAGGTCCAGTGTATAAGATTTAGGTGAAAGGGAACTATTGGCAGAAATGTAATGTAGAATAATCCTCATGTTTTTCTTTAGCCCAGAAAAGGTCCTTTACATTTAAATACTTCATATTTACATCGAGGGTACCCTCTCTACGGAGGCCGCCATGTTTTTTGCATTAGTCCAGACTGGACAAACTAAACACCTTTTGAGTTTTTATGACAATTAAAGTCTACCACAGTTTCTTTTTCGTGTTTGGAAGAAGAGGGTGAGGTGAGGGGTGTTCAGCTGCAACATGCAACTTCAACACTATATATCACAAAATTCTACACACTGTACCTTTAAGCTGAGAGGAAGCTTCCTTACTTCTTTGTCATTGCCAGAAATACTGTAAGAACGTCTAAGAGATCACAGAGAGACCCTCTCACGTCACCACCCAGGCCTGCAGCAAATCTAAAGAAGCCAATGTTATGTTTAAGGGAGTGGCTTCTGCTGAATTGTCATTTATCCTCTCTGTATCTTTATTAACTTGATTGCAGCAGTGTCACTGTATGTTTCTCATGTTTGTTTCAGGTCTTGTGCTTGCCCTGCTGGCAGTCGAGTGTATTGGCAGGAAGAAGAGCATGGCTCTGTGTTTCTTCATATTTTCTTTGTCCATTCTGCCTTTATACGCTTGTATCGGGAGGTAAGTCGGTCTCTGTGTGCCTTCATTCGTCATTAAGCATCAAAAACAATACATTAAACATTCTCTGCATTTCTCTCTCTGTTCGTGTAGGACGGCTCTGACAATCTTCATCTTCCTCGCCAGAGCCTTCATCTCTGGAGGATACCAAATTGTTTTTGTTTACACACCAGAAGTAGGTCTATACACCCTTTTTTAACATTAAATATAACCAATAATATGCTTGAATAAAACTGTGTCTGTTCTCTCAGGTGTTTCCTACAGAAATCCGAGCCTTAGCAATGGGGACTTCCAGTGCAATAGCCAGGGTGGGTGCTCTCATCACCCCCTTTGTGGCACAGGTATGAGGCAAAGTGCTACATATTTTGCTATATATCATTAAGAAATACTAATTTTCATCAAATAACAGCTTGTATACGTTGTTTATTTTTGTGAAGCTGTATTACTGGTTTAAATTAAGAATTGTGCAGCTTCCAAGTTATGTCAGACTTCTTCACACGATTGTCCAGATTTCTCTGCCAGGCTCCTCAGTGTGTTTTTATTGTTTCCAGGTGATGCTCAGAGCATCAGTGTATTTGACGCTGTCCGTGTACTGTGGCTGTTGTGTGCTGGCTGGCATTGCTTCCTTGATCCTTCCCATTGAAACGTTAGGCCGAGGTCTGCAGGAGTCCAGTCTTGACCGGGAGGCCGGAGGACAGGCAGGCAACACAAGCAGTCAGGAGCCACGATCCTCAGGCAGGGTTTAGGGTGACCAGGACGAATGCAATTAGAAGAGGAAGGATGTTTTGGTCGCCTCGCAGGCTGCACCATGATGTGGCTGTTGTCTCTTTAACTGTGGACTAAATCATCTGAGCGATGATGGGTGAAGAGCAGCGCGGGACAATCACATTACAAGCAGCCAGTGATAATGGAGGGTGGACCTACTGCCCACATTTAATGAGAGCGGAAGCACATTGGTGCTCAGTTTGTTTATGCTCTCCACCATTTCAACCATGACGACAAGCAAGGAACATTTTTGGAAAAAAATGACGCACTGTGACGGCTCTGCTCTGAGCTACAAAACGTATTTTGCCCTGAAGAAGCTGCAGTTTATTTAGTAATATTCAGACAAAATAATATTTGTTTATATTTATTTTGTATGTAAGCCTTTTGTGTATTAAAGTTGTTCATCTTTTATTTTATTAAGAGACATGTGATTATTTTATGGCTGTAGATTAAGGATTAGTTGATTATTGAATTAGTATACATTCTAGACTAACTAATTACTTATATATACAAATACAAATTATTCTCTTGTTTGATTATTTTGGGCGTTTTGATCTATAGACGTGTATTATATGACATTTCGGACAACAGGATATTAGGCATTTTAAAAGTTATATGAAAAATAATAGAAAATAAGTTATGATATAATATTAAAAAACAATAATTGTATTGAATTTGGAAATTATACATAGCAAATTATCAAAATTAAAAAAAATATTACAATCATTTGAACAATGGGAATGGATAATTTGAGACTGTGATGATGGTAATAATGGAGAATGATCTTGTTATTGTGTGTTTCATAACATGAGGATCATTTCATCAACATTTGTATTTGGGAGTTCCTAGTCTGGCCAGTCACCTTGACAACATTGGCCCAATGACAGCGCACACGCGAACTAGGCCAGCCAATCAGAGGCGGCCGCCGGATCTGCCTGTCATGTGTGCCCCGCTTCAACCTGCACCGTGTTGTGTTTGTGTGTCTGCGGACATGATGAAGCCCCGCAAATCACGCAGCGACTCCCTCACGACCCCCCGCACATGAGGACCCCGGTCACCGCAGAGGACGCACGGAGCCGGGCCGAAAGGCAGCAGCACCGCCGCCGGGACTCGGGAGCGAGGCGGCGCTGGATGCGAAGCAGCGGAGTCTGACTTGGCGTTTTTTCTCCCCGGTGACAGAGACACAATCTCCGCGGCGCATCTCCTCGCGTCCTCCCCGCCCTTCTCCTCCTCCTCCTCCGCGGCCGCAGCCCGCCGACCATGGCCCTGGTGACTCTGCAGCGCTCCCCCACCCCCAGTGCAGCATCCTCGGCCAGCACGACCAACAGCAGTGCGGGGGAGGTGAGTGGAAGGAGCCGGTGTCTGCTCTTTGTGTCCGCGGCGTGAGATGAATGCGCCTGCAGGATTTCTCATCAATAACAGTCTGGGTGGTGTTTGACATCGTGCAGGGAGCGTTCAGCTCACTTCCGTCACTGCTGAGAAACTTGATTTATTGTGTTATAACAGCAGCAGACTTGGATGTGGCAACTGTGGCGGCGGATTTGTAAACAAAATCCGACACAGGGGGGAGGAAGAGGGAGGAGGAGGTGGTGGTGGGGGGGTGTAAGCTGTCAGAACAAAGTGCTCATTTTGCTGCTGCACAAACATTTGCTGCTGTTTGTGTTCAGGTTTGTCCTCCCTGCTTTACTGCTGGGCTTTTTATCGGCAGCAGTGCAGTCTGGGTGATTGGGGACGAAGGAGACTTTAAAGGTCCAGTGTGTAAGATTTAGGTGAAAGGGATCTATTGGCAGAAAGTGAATATAAAATAATCCTAGTGACGTTTTCTCTGGTGTGTTTCATCTAAACTGTAATAAACATGCCCTTTATATTGAAATACTTTATCTTTACATTGGATACGTCTCTCTACGGAGGTCGCCATGTTTTTGTTTTTTTTACAGTAGCCCAGACTGGACAAACTAAACTTGAGTTTTTATGACAACTGAAGGTTTCCACAGGTTCTGCCTCATGTTTGTAATAGAGCTGCAACTTCCCCACTAGATATCACAAATTTATACATGCTAAACCTTTAAAGGGAAATGCGTAGTAACGTAGGATGCCGCAGACGCAATAACCAGAACCACATAAAACAATCATGTGTATGAGCATCTGTCAGCCATAATGTAATATTTAAACTCCTGACAGTGAGACGTAACTCTGATTTTATCTATTTACCTGCAACCCACCAAGTCCCAGCATCAAACAAAGTCAGCATCCAGATACGGAGCAGACGTCACAGAATCAGAGTCGGTGCTCCAGTTTCTAGTTTTTAGGAAAGTAGATTAGGTGCTCGTAAGTAGGCTGATTGAGCCGGGGCACAAAAACAAGCTGTGACATTATTCCTTTTGTTGATAAGTGTTTGGTTTTTAAATATAGGTTTCCTCTCACTGTTCTGCAAGAGTCAGCTGCCGGAGGAATAACTGGTGTGATGTGTTATTTTCCTGAACTTGAAGATGTCCTCATGAGTCAGCTGACAGCTCTATGGGACTTTGCATAGCATATGAGATCACAGCACTGACCAGGAAGGACCAGCAGATGGCGCTGGCACACCGTATTCCAATTTACACATCACTGATTGGCTCAACTTTGCCATCTAACACATTTTAAGGATTATTTAAGGATTAGACAACAATTCTTCATGTTTGCAGCCACAAACACTAGATTCACGGAGAGAGTGATTTTCAGGTCAGGAGTAAAATGTAAAATCTCAGTGTAACACTTGTGACACAGTTTTAAAATTGTCTGCCTTGTTTTTGTCTTACAGGACTTCGGGAGTGATGATGACCGGAAAACTAACCAGAGGTGAGATCTCTCTCTTTTAAAAAGTTAAAAAACTAGTGAACAAAAAACTTTTACTGCACCGAAAAGCTGGAATCAAACACCAGTGTCGAGATGTATTTATTATTGTTGACTTTTTGTGCTTTAGCTGCTTTTAAACTTACCCTACTCCACGTTCAATGTGTCTGACTTCTTTAAGTAAAACAGCCAGGGACCTGAAATAGAAGAAAATGAAAACAGGCATTTATAAAAATCAACAAATCTTAACATTAGTTATTTAAGAACATTTCTGAGTTATAAATTGCGGTTTTCTGAATTATAAAGAGAAATGACAGAAAACTCTTTCTACATCTGTCTTTTTACATATAAAGTGCTTTTATTCAAGCTGAGTTTTGTGACTTCTGCATTGAAGGTTATGTGGAAGCTCCTCATCAGCACGTGTCTCTTTTACAGTCTCTTTTCTCTCATGGCTCCAAGTGTCTCACCGTGAAAGAGAAAAACCGGCTGGAAATGCTGTTGATTAACGTGACTGATTTTAAAAAAAAAACGTTTTCTCCCCAGTTAAGTTAACAGAGATCACGTACACAGTTGTTCCTGCTCGGTCACAAAGCTTTTCTTTAATCAGCACGACGTCACAGAGGCAATGATTTGTGTCAGCAAAGCTCTGGCACAGACTCTGTCATTGTGCTCAGTGTGTGTGGGTCCATCACAGTTGAAACAGTCGTGTCATGCTTTGTCTGACTCAGTGGGTGACATGTTTCTGTAGCTCAGTGATTCATCAGTGTTACAGATTCTGCACGTCAAACTTCAGCCTGACGCCAAGGCAGCGTCGTCCACCGCCTCCCCGCACCTGCGTGAAAGATGCTATTGTGGCCGAGCTTTGCAGAGGGAGCGCTGACTGTGAGGAGGAGACACCGCGGCACGGATGAGGAGAATCGAGGACCGGGGTGTGGGAGGAGGGAGGGGGAAGGTCGTGCTGGGACCCAGACCATGATGCTGACAGAAGAGGCTAGAGCCAAATGTATGCAGGTTTAGAAGATGAACTGGAAATAGGTTAATATAGGAAAAGATAGTGTTTTATCAGCAAATCGTAGAACAAGCGGCAGGATGCATCTGGTGGTGAAACCGTCACATAAAGCCATGTTGACCGTGCTGCCTGACTTTGTGGAGAAAGCTGCTCTGACTCGGAGGGAGATCTGTCGCATGTAAGTTTTCACAGCGGCACAAACACATCAGGACGTGATAGTGGACACTTCTTTGAGTTAGTCGTTCTTAGTGGAGAGTAGAGTATGTAAGGTCTAGTTTTATTTAACGGGATCGAATGTTCACGTTTGAAGGGCAGGAGATGATTTTATAAACTCGCTGGCTCTATTTTAAAGCTTTAATCTTGGTCATAATTGAGAGGATTTTTTTCTTTGTTGTTAATTTACCTTGTTGTCAAAGTCGTCTGCATAAATTTGAAAAGGAACAGTGACACCACGTAGCAGAGGAGCTAAAACAAAAGGCCTTTTGATGGTCCCACTCAGTCATACCAGGCTTTGTGTGTGTGGTGGTTGGGAGAGTGGAATGAAACTGTGGTTAAACAAAGCTGTGCCCTGTCCTGTGTGACGAGACACTGAAGCTGTCCTCCTGCTCACTGCAGCCCTCACAGTGTCTCATGACCCAGGAGACATCCAAAAGAGACTGGACAGGAGAGCCAAGATGTAACACTTACTGACTTTTAGGTACTGATGAGGCTCCGTCTGCCCTCTGACTGTACATATACATATGTGTCCTGACTGAAGCCATCTCATGTTCCTGTGTTTCTCTTCTTGATTTGATTCCATTTCTAATTTGGCCACAATGACAAATCTACAACTTTAGGGAGAAGGAGCCTGTGATCAATGTCAAACAGCACCAACACACACCTGAAAACCTCCAGACCAAAGTCATTTAGAGCGATGAGACCACAATTAGTGTTTACACTTACAAATTCTGATCGTGGTGGCAGCTGATTGTGCAGCATGGTGGTGGATCATGGTGGTGGATTGTGGGTCATGATGGTGGATTGTGGATCGTGATTTCATCTGATTGTGGTTTCCTTACTCTTGTTGAGGATTCAGGACAGAGGATGTCGCACCTTGTTAAGCCCTGAGAAAAATTGTGATTTGTGAATATGAGCTATACAAAAAAATGTGATTTGATAAAAATAAACTCTAGTCAACATTGATGGTAAGATGAACGCAACCCTTGAGGCCAGGTTAAATTCATAAGCCAGGAAGCTGTTCCTGAAGCCTTCAATTTATTTTCCACTCCTTTTTGTTTCAGCCTCAGTGAGAGTTTCTTCATGGTCAAAGGAGCTGCCCTCTTCCTCCAGCAGGGCGGCAGTGCACAAGGACCAGAGACACCGAGCCACCACAAACATGCAGGTAGGAACAGACACGAGCAACTGAACAGAGAAGCTTTTCTCTTTGACTTTTTGAGCTGCTGACTAAAGAAAAAACCTGTTTCCTGTGGTGACTTTTTCCCCCTGTGGGTTTTTATGTTTATTCTCAAATGTTACAGAGCTGGGTGTGACCTGCAGTCAACACCAGGGACGCCCCAAATATTATTTAAACAAAGAATAAGCCTGAAACATGAATATATAGACAGTTACTGGTTATAAGATCCTGCTGAACAATGCTGATGTCATCCTCCAGCTCTCAGTGATTGATGATGTGTGTTGTCCAAATTACTGCAGGTATTTGTGTGTGTGTTTTTCTGCTGCCCAAACTTCACACAATCGCACTGCTGCTGTACGTCTGCACATCAGAGGCACATAAAAATTTGTCATCGTCATGCTCAATCTAAAAATAAACTAAACGCTCGCTACAGTCCCATCCACAATTTGAGTGCACGACTCAGGTGTGACTTGCTTACATAATAACCAGCAGGTATCAGGGTTTAGATTGAGAGAAATGAAGAACCCCCCTGCACAGTGAGAAGAGGATTAATGGTCAGTTTGACCTTTAGGGCCCGATCAGACCTGGTGTTAACATCTGTCCTTAGAGAACTGATCAAAAGTGGACAGTGTTAAGTACAACTGTTCATGCCTGGCATTACAATGTGTCCGTGCTTCTTGTGACCATTTGTGATGGGATCTGACGTCCTTCACATTTGTTTTCACACAGCTAAAAGAATGTGGCCACAAGCGTCCCAGACCACTTCCAAATGTGGTCTGAGTGATGGGATCTCAGGATGCATTGAAGACGCATTAGGGTGCGTGCACTTAGCGGTGACCACTTGTGATTGGATCACCCAGGACGGATGTTAATACCAGATCTGTACAGGTTCTTAGTTTTTGTGTCGTAAAGCTGAGTCAGTGCAGCCTGTTCTTGAGTGTGTGTTATTTTGTCCGTATTGCGAGTTGGGATGTTAGTGTCTTTCCGATTATCATTATAAAACGCTTCGATCAGAAAATAAACTGTAATAATCTGCATCTTCTATTTTATCACCAGTCTCAAAATGTTTCACTTTCAGGTGATCTACCTCAACACCTGCAGGTCATGTTTAAGATCCTCCGCTCTGAAGATCGCATTAAACTGGTTTGTATGATTCCTACTCTTCATTTCTGGTTCAGGACTTATCTTGACGACAGCACGATATTTTCATTTCAAACACACTTCCTATGAATATTTCCTTTTGTTCCAAAGGCAGTGCGGTTAGAGAGCGGATGGTCGGACCGGGTGCGCTACATGGTCGTCATCTACACCAACGGTCATCAAGATACAGAGGAAAATATCGTCCTGGGAATGGACTTTACAGACAAGGACAAGTAAATATTCTCCCAGCAGCCTCACATTTACACACAGTACTCTTCACACTGATTGTTATATTTTCTAATGAACTGTTTTTTCTGACCCTCAGTAAAAACTGCTCCATTGGGATGGTGCTGCCACTGTGGAGTGATACCAATATCCATTTAGATGGAGATGGGTGAGTTTCATTTTGTCCTTTGATGAAAATTGGAATAATAAATGCTTGAATCAGCCGTCGAAGTGTAGCTACAGAACTACGATTGGAATAATAGTAATATTTTATTTATATACCTCTCACACATAAAAATAACAAAAACAAATAAAAACAGTGAAATGGAAGCTGGTTTAAAGGACTGAAGCTGGTTTTACTGACCTCCAGTGTCAGAGGAGTGAACCACCCTCATTTTTCTGTTCTTGCTGACCTGTTAACATTGTCCCTGTGTGCTGGAGGAATGTTCCACTGGTTCACAGCCTGAATAGTCCCATGAACGAGCCCCGTCCAGTCCGTGTTTACATCCCTTCATCACGCTTCATCTCTACCCAGACTCAAACTGATCTTCCTCCTCTTCCTCCTTTTCCACCAGAGGTTTCAGCGTGAACACAGCAGGGCGGTCACATGTCTTCAAGCCTGTGTCCGTGCAGGCCATGTGGTGAGGAAACTGTTTTTGTTTACGTGGGAGACTGTGGCATGTGTGTGGTGTGGCCTGGAGTTTCGATTTAGACATTCACATTAGGAACAGGTTTTAGACCCTGTGGACCAACCACAGGACGTGTTGTTGTTGTTATCTGATGCCAAAGTTAGTCATAATATAAATCACACAAAAAATACAATGGAAAACTATGTCTGTCATCCTCGTGAATGACAAAAGATATGAGGCCTAGAAATATGCCATGAATCAGATTTCAGTTGAAATTTGAGACATGAATGTGTTACATCATGTAAACTGAAGAACCATCCATCAGTGGACACTGGTCTCCCTGCCAGAGTGTGAAGTTGGATTATCCTATAGATATTTAATTTGCAGTTTAAAAGAACCACAGAAAAGAAATCCATAAGCTGTCATCTTAAATCTCTGTTGTCATTAACAATGTCCTGAACTAGTCACACACTATTTGTTCAGAGACCTCCTCTTGTAGCCACATGCCACCTGCTGGTCACTTATAAGAATTACAAATAAACAAGTCAGCCTTCTTCTCCTGTCTATCTGCTCCTGTCACATTGTTTCTGGTCTAAAGCCTTTTTGCTGTGCGTTGCCACAGGTCTGCCCTGCAGGTCCTCCACAAAGCGTGCGAGGTGTCGCGCCGGTTCAACTACTTCCCAGGGGGCATTGCCCTCACGTGGATGGCCTTCTATGAGAGCTGCATCACCTCGGAGCAAAGCTGTGTCAATGAGTGGAATGCCATGACCGACCTGGAGACCACCCGGCCTGACTCACCCACCATGTTTGTCGACCGGTGAGAAGCTTCAGGCTGCATCACGCTACAGTTTTAGTTGCAGTACACCTACACTTCAATAGATGTTAGTATTGGTCTTACCCTTAGACCGTGTATAAAGGTCCTGCCGATACACTCTACCAGTTGTGAGCCCCTCTGAGCCAGGGTGCCAACTTGAGGACGTGGTTAAACCATGGGGGAGTTTTATTGTCGTCTATCTTTATAGGAAGTCTGTGGTCTAGCTTGTGTACGTTGTTTTCAGTTGAACAAACATAAAACTCTAAACTTCATTTTCATTCACATATGTTCTGTGCAGGCCAACCGAGCGAGAGAGAACAGAGTGCCTCATCAAAGCTAAGCTACGCAACATCATGATGTTTCAGGACCTGGAGAACATCACGTCGAAGGAGGCATGTGTCAAATTAACGCCTCAACTGTGTGCATTTGTTCTACATCTGTCTATCAGCCTGTAAAGCTACATTCTAGTGTTTGACTGAAGGTGAGAAATACACTGTGAAACTTCTTTTAACAAATAGTTTGTTTCTCAACATCAGATACGTAACGAGCTGGAGCAGCACATGAGCTGTAACCTGAAGGAATACAAGGAGTTCATAGACAACGAGATGCTCCTGATCCTGGGTCAGATGGACAAGGCCACACTTATCTTTGACCACGTGTACTTGGTGAGAGTTTTTACATCATACTTCTACATTATATTCTTCATTTTTCCCACATGATACTTAAATACACACTGTGGTTATATTTTTTCCTCAATAAAATACAGTTAAATTAGCCTTTAATAATAAACCCCTGATTATCCAATTGAAATGTTTTCCTGTCTTTACCTTCATAGGGCTCAGAGTGGAACGCTTCAAACCTTGAAGAGCTACGTGACTGCGGGTAAACATATCTCATATTTTCTTCATTAAATATTAAATGATGTATTCTTTCACTGGATTCAATAAATTATATGCATGTATATTAGATTGTTAGATTAACTGTAGGTGTTGTTTTTATTTAAGTCAGCTTACTATTGATAAAGTTTGTTACTGTTAAATAATCCAACCGAGATGTGCAGTTTGCAGATACTGTTAGCCAAGAAGAAAGTGTGCTGGTTCATGAGTAAACGGTTTGAAAGAAAATTGACTCCGGTCACTGCATTGAGAGTAAATGTTTTTTGTTTGCAGAGTGGGCTACATCCTGAACGTGACCAGAGAGATTGACAACTTCTTCCCAGGGATGTTCTCATATCACAACGTGCGTGTGTACGATGAGGATGCCACCGACCTGCTGGCCCACTGGAACGACACCTACAACTTCATCGTCAAAGCCAAGTGAGGCACCGCACATAAATAAACCTGTGAGCTGGTGCTTTTTGACAGAACGGGCTGTGATGCAAGAGTAGAGGGTGAAATTATCCAGATATATGGACTGTAACAGCCTGGTGGTATGGTTTGTGCTGATGATAGAGTGTAGCAGTGCTCCTACAGAACTGTGGTATGATTACATGGAGTTTTAAGACTATTTTTAAGCTGTCACAGTTCTACTGTCTCTCATCATTCATTATCCAGGACCAGTACCAGGGCTACGGTCATTCAGGACACATTTTTCTTGTCTCCTAATACATCACACAACTGTGAGTTGCTCCAGTAACAGAGAGAGATTAAATGGTGCAGTCGGTCTGGTTGCTATGCAACTGTCCAACCATGCTCACCTGATGTAAAAAAAAAAAAAAAAAAAAGCATTAATAGAGCACAATCCCCACATCCTGGTTATCTAATAATCTTTTATTTTGCAGTGTGTGATAGTTTTTGATCCATGCTGTCCTAACATCATCAACTTCATCATCAAATAATACGGTTTCCTTCCCATCCAATAGGAAGAATAACTCCAAGTGTCTGGTGCACTGTAAGATGGGGGTGAGCCGGTCTGCCTCGACAGTTATTGCCTATGCAATGAAAGAATATGGCTGGTCTCTGGAGAAAGCCTACAACATCGTCAAGCAGAAGCGGAGTATAGCCCAGCCAAACGCTGGCTTCATGAGACAGCTGGCGGAGTATGAGGGAATCCTGGATGCCAGGTAAGAATGTTTTCAGGTTTCACTCAGGTTTGTTCACATCCTGGGGGGTGGTACACTATGAAACGTAGCTTCACATGTAAACAAAAGTTTACTTTCCTTTCACAGCAAACAGCGTCACAACAAGCTATGGAGGCCTGAAACAGATGAGGAGGGATCAGATGATTTGCAAGCGTCTGGCCACTGCACTGGTGGAGAGGAGACATCCGGGCTCAGAGGAGAGGAAGCCTGGGGAGGCTGCGGTGCATCTCCCTGCAGGGTCATGGGTCTGGAGATGGAGCCCCTTGACTCTCTTAACTATAATTACTATTTCAGACGTTTGTCAGACTCTGCGTTAGACAGCGAGCCCTCCACCCCAGTGCGGGGCCCCCCGCTACTGGGTATGGAGAGGGTTTTCATTGAGATTGAAGACGTGGAGAGAGACGCCCTATTGGAGGACGAGGGTTTTCCCATGGCCCATTTAGCTCTACCTGGCGAGGGCACGGCCGCGCAGACTTGTGGCCGCCTCGACCCCCTGGAGGACATGAGACTAAGACTTGAGTTCAGTACTTTGGAGGAGGAGGATGAGGAAGAGGCAAAGAAAGAGGAAGCTGAGATGGCAGCCTTGGCTCAAACACCTGGAGGATCAGATGGGAAGAGAGCAGGGGAGGAGGGTGAGAAGACGGAGGAAAGACGGTTAGGTCTCGCCAACCTTAACACCAACAACAGCAACCGGCTAGCTGCAAAACGCAGCTGCCCTGCAGCTTTTGATGTGAGTTGAGATGGATTTTAAGTTTTTTGTGTGTCTGCATATCTTAAAATATCTTTTATGTAAAAAACTAATGTAATGTCTTAACATTTTTAATATTCTGCATATCACTGACCATATACTTTATTCTCCAATTTTACCCCTTGCAGGACAGCGCGAGCACAGGAAACCCTTTAAAGGTGAAGCCCTCCTATCAGTCCTGTAAAGACTGCTTGCGTCTGCCACAAGGTCGGCGCTGTGACCGTCCAGCAGGAGGTCGTTCCCACCGTCTCAACCCCTCCCGCCACTGCACTGTCCCAACTATATACATAGATCCGCCCGGGACCAACTTTGCTTCCACTCCAATTCTGCAGTCTCTGCCGACCCCTGCAGTTGTCCCTCCTGATGTAATCCAGCCCTGTGCTCACCTCTACCGCTGTTCCACATGCGCCCCAGGCATCCCACCAGCGCATCGCCAGAAACTGGTCTCACCCATGAGCTGCGAGGAGACGCCTCCTGACTGCGGCTCAGTGGAGGCAGAGGACATGGACCAACCAACTGCGGAAAACGTGGATGTGCAGCTAAGAGAGGTTTCAGGGACGGTCAGTACTGCTACTGCTGAAGGTTTAAAACTACAACCTGGTGATGCAGCCGAGTTCCAGCAGCAGGCTCTGGCTCAGCTGCAAATGCCAGGACTGGGGATAGAGTTTGGTCTGGAACTGATGCGACAGAGGGCGGAGCAGCTTGAAAAGCTGCCGAGCTTGGCGATGGAGGGTCAGCTCCCAGTGGGCCCCCTGCCTTAAAGGAGGACCTGGAGGAGGAACACTGCCTCCATCGGGTACACTATGATGGCTGAGAGCCTTTAGATGACTGCAGCTGTGGTGTCGTACCAGAAATGAAGCACGAGTCTGACCTGTTCCGTCAATTCCTGGCCTCAAGCAGCTCTCTGTGCTTTTGCGTCTGCTGGCATGAAGAATGAGATGAGGCTGGTTGTTTTCACCGTCACACCATTAAAAGCTTCTGGCCAAACTGGGACTGAAGACTTCTCTCATGTCCCATGGAGTTGCTGCCATTTTACCATCAACACGCAGGTTTTGTGGTGGTTTCTAAGATCTACTCGTTCCTTTGTGACTCCTGAGAGAGCTGTAGTTAACACTTTGATGTTGATGGAAAGAAAAATACCTGGAGTAACCTGCTTCTGTTGGTGTCCTGTATATTTTATCAATCCAACTCATCAAGAGTATCAAGAGGAGCTCAATGATTTTGAGCCTGTTTGATTCCAGTCCGTATGTCCTCATGTTACCACGGATAAACGGAATCCCTGTTCAACTTCATTTCTATTTCTCTTGCCGCAGCTGCTTTTGCATCACGACGGGGCGTTTTCATGTGAAAGCTTAATCATTTTTAAAAAAGGATTTGAGCTAAGTGAGCATTTGAAAAGCGTCGTACCTCGGACCACAAATATCTGTCGGACTGTTTTTGGTCAAAGACTTTTGTTTCTGCTCAGTGGCTGGTTCACCCCCCCCTCCATTAATGTAATTATGTCCTTCAAGTGCTCAGTTTAGCCACGCATGACTTTGCAGTATTACAAAGCATATCCTCAACGTGCTTACGCAGAAAACACATTAAAATCACCTTTAATTTTCACCAAGTTTTTGAAACATTACAACATCCAGGCATCAAGGAACAATGAAAAGCTTAAATATCACTCACTCTTATTCAGGTCATTTCTGATGTAACTAAAGCCATATCATGTTGCCAGGTTCAGTTTGCACCTAATTATTCTCTGGGAAACCATCAAAACAAATTCTCTCAATCTAAAAGAAAGTGAAAGAAACATTCCTGAATTGTCCAGATCAGTGCCAAAATTTCAAGGGATCTATTTCAGCACGTCTCATCATTCCATAAAGTTTTATGGAAATCCGTTTGGTAGTTTTTTGCGTAATCCTGCTTTCAAACAAACAAACGGACAGGGGTGAGAACATAATCTCATTGGCATTGGTAATTATAGTCAATAAAGAAGCAGAGCACAGTTTCATTTAACCAGTGAAACATCTGGCTGTTATGTAATAGGCTCATCCCATAAACTTTTTTGGTAATATGTTGAAAAACCTTAGACTACCTTTTGCGAACCCACAATTATTTGCAAAGGCACAATGATCACGTATAGATTTAACACTCGAGCACAACTCTAGTATCCATTCACAGCGCACAGGCATAGTTCAGATGTATATTTACATTTATTAAGAATTATTTCAGAGCACTAAATCAAAAAAAAAAAAAAATCAAAATGAAAAATACACATTTCAAAGAAGTATGCTTTTCCTTAGCTTGCAGTTTTGACACCAATACTGTAAGAATTATTGAATTGATCCATCAATCATCAGACAGAGGCTGGCACTAACTTTTTTGTTGCTAATTTACTTAAATACTTAAAATATATATATTAATTAATTAACTGACAAGACCAGATTTCCTTTTATTTTTTAAATAGAGGTAACCGGTTAAAAAAATTGCAAAGCCCACTTTCACAGTCCATCAGTTCTTCAATAGTTATTTAAACTTTTCATAATGCACATCAACAGCTTGAGGTATATTTTTTAACCTGTTTGGTTAAAATTAGGCCACCTATCCAAAGTTGCTGTGCCGCAGGACGTTATTCTTTGGTTTGATGTTGTGTTGCGATTGTTTTTTGGCACGCTGGGTGTGCTAGAGTGGTTCTGAATGATCCCTGTTTAGAAAAAGCACATGCAAGTGTTATTACTGTGTTTAGAGATCCGAGTGCTTCAGGAGAACTCTTCAAAGAATGGATGCAAGTTACTTAATCATCGTTTTAATCATTTCTTTAAAATCCATCTGTAGAAACTTAAAGGGAAAAAAAAACAATAATTCCTCCTCTGTTCCTTCTCCTCTCTTAAATGAATCCCAGGGAGCTGCAGTTTTGCTCCACTAGTTAGATTTAAGTAATGTAGTTTAGCCTGTAACCTGCTCCTTCCAGTCATGTGGACATTTGAGTCTGGTGCAGCACCTACAGGAAGTTGCCATGAATAGTTCACAGCTGAAAGTATTACAAAGCGCAGTGTACAAGACAGACTAAAGGAATAGTATATTGAGGATATGAAATATTTAGTTCAACATAAAGACTGAAGGAAAAGTCTGGTTCTGAAAGATCTCGCACCTCTAAACTTATTTTTGCGTAAAAATCGCAAAAACCAAAAGTGTACAACATAATTTTTCAAGTAAGCTGGAAGTAAGGGTGCTGAGGGGGCTGCAGCACATCCCACTGGTAAATGGCTGTAAGTGCAAGGCAAAAAAAATTAGATTTCCTGGAGTAACATTTTGAGAAGCTCAGTGGTAGGTGTATATCAATTATAACCCTAATGAAATTTTCAATTTTGATTTAATCTTCCAGCATTCAGTGCATTTTCTGTAGCTTCTGCATGCACAAGTGTAGAACGCATCATTGATGATGAAAGGATAATGGATGTAAGTGGTGGAATTACAAGGTTAGATTTTATTTTACTGTCCCTTGACTGTGTCATTGCTATAGAATATATCTTGAGTCAAGATGGGTATGATTTAATTGCCCTGCTCACTTCCAGTCTAATTGTCATTTTTACACAAAGCCATGTTTGCTGTTCCTCCATTTGTAGTCCTTATGCTAAGCTAAATGACCACATTATGTTTTCCATTCAGACATCACAGTGATACCTCCTCCTCCAACTCTTAACAAAGCAAACAAGCCTATGTCTCAAATCTCAACCAATTCCTTTAGTGTATTCTTCATATAATTCTAAATGAATCCAGTGGTTCTCAGTAAGTTAATGGCCTGACGACGGTGCTCGACAACTCTCCGTTTGTGTTTCCTGCCCGCAGCACAGATATTTGGTTGTTTGCTTCACGTGTTGAGTTTGTTTTTGCATTTAAGTGCCTTAACCTCGGCCTTAGCTCCGCCATAAAGCATCACAGGCTTTGCAGTTTCTGAGAGTGTGTTGAAGGTCTGATTTATTTATTTTTTTTTTTTGTACATGACTTCCCCTCACTCCCAATAATAACCACGCTCTTTGCATTGTATAACTCGGCACATTGATATAATGTATGCAAACACAGATAAGCTCATGCACAGCAGCCTCCTCTTCCTCAACAGACACATACTTGATGGACTTCCATTTATTAAATAGCCTATAATAATATTGTACTTGTTTGATATTGTTGAAACTTGTGGTATTGGTTCAATAGCTGGCTGAGGAACCTTACTTGCTGGAATGAGAACTATCATTTATTTACATTAGAGCATAAGATAAGAAGGATTTAATTAAGTCTCTGACATTTACCAATCTGTAAATACTTTTCTCTTCCATTTACTATTGAGTCGACTAGCTTGCAGATGTGGTCAGTATTAAGAAAAGCACTGATTATGCTACTGTGTCTCGCACACAGAGAAAAAAAATACGATTCGGAGGTCATCTCTAATTTAGTCACATGACTTACAGCTCTATTAAAAATGAAAATTATTGAATTTTTTGTATTATTATTATTATTGCATCATTCCCAGGCATCAAACTGACAATCCTACTTTAAGGGCCAGAGGCTGAGGAAGGACATTAAATAAGACATATATTGTACTTTCAGGTGATGGGGGGCATTTATAGAGTGGATTCATACAGAGCACAAGTTTGCCCCCTAATGCATGAGACGAGTGGAAATTGCAGAACATGAAAAACCTACCTGGGAGGGGGATTTTGTTGATCGTCTTTTGTTTACTTGTACTGTACATTGCCAATGTTCATGTGTAATGCACTTTTTTTTACATTTTGTTAAACTGATGTCCAGTCTAATGTTTATCATGGAAATAAACCATTTCCTCTGCAGAATGGGTTTATCATGCTGATAACTGTGCATATATTTGATTGAACTCAATTCTACTTGTATTGCACCAAATCACAACATGCATTATCTCAAGTTACTTTTTATAGTAACCTTAAAAATGAAAGCGAAACCCAGCAGTTCCCACAACAAGCAAGCATGGACAGATCTTATTTGTGATTATACTACACTGTAAATATTACTTTTTCTGGTTATCAGGAGGTATCGATCCAGCAAGAGAAACTTTATGAATATCATGAGGAGGCTGGAGTCCTCCTGCAGCGGCTGAAGGTTTGGTTCCGACCCGGCCATTTGCCTATTCTTTCTCCCCAGTTCAGGGCTTGCACTATCAAGTCAATGAAAGTGAAATACACAAAAGGTATCATGGGATAAGTCCTGTATGTGCATCTCTGTATATGTTTGATTGAAACGCTCCAGTCTCTGGCAGCATGTGGCCTTGCTCTCTCAGTGAAAGTAACCAGGCAGAGAGCGATCTTATTGAATTATTCAAATTATGTCTGCCTGACATGGGGCAGGTGACAGCTGACTGAGAAGATCTCCTCGAAACACTAAAGTCTGACACAGGCAGAAGGAGCATCATTTTTAAAAGTCAGCCTCAGTAAGTATCTACCTTTTCTGCAGTATTAGCCCTCAATGACATGCTTATATTAGTGTAACTTTAGTCTTTTATTAAATATCTTCTAAACTACAAAAAATTAGTTTCTTTGGATTCAAAAGTATTCAAAAGGATAGTCAGTATTGATTGGGATGGTGAGGTCTACAGTATCAACAGGTCAGGATGAGAATTTAAATGTTAAAGGTCGGTAAAAAAAATAATTTCCACATTAATGACATAAACAAATTATTTTACAACATTAAAGCTGCAGTCTCTGTATTGTATATACTTATGCTGGATACATCTTGTATAACTATATTCTACACAACCACAGAAATTGCTCATTAGGAGCTGCTCTGCTGCATAAATCCATCAACTATAAAATAAGCACGTTTATCTTCAGCGTTTTTATGACTAACTCCTGCCATAGAGAATGCTATGAAAATTTTACTGTCAGACTAGATCATGTGTCTGAATAGCATCCTGTCTTAGATCCAATTTGAAATTGGAGCTACATTATGTCATAAGCTGCTCTTAAGGCCTGTCTCAGTGTTTTTTTTAGAGGAAAACAAAGTCTGAAGTAATTAACTGGGCTAATAGTTGGTGCACTGTGTCACAAGTCTCTTATAAAGTGTGTTTTTGGTAATAAAAGCATGAGATGCACAAGAAGAGTGATGTAAGGAGAGAGGGAGAATGAGACTAGGGGGGTTTCACAGATGCCTGCAATGCTGCTATTGTAACACATCCATCCCAAAATAACACTTCAAGATACACTAAAGCTTCAAGCGCACGTGTCTGTCAAGCAGTGGATCAATGTGAGCAACATCATATTACAAAGCCAGGCTGTGTCATGACAAAACAAATGCTACTGAAAGACATAGTAGTAGTACCCTCTCACCGTCAGATAAACTAAATTGCATTTATTGATTACTTTAAGTTAAAATAACCATTTATACACTAATTTTTAAGCTAAAATGTTCTGTAAACTATTCATCTGTAAATTTTAACAAACTCTTATCTAATACTTTTATTTTGTATTTCATCAATCATGTTTAACTCTTTTCCAATACTTTTATTTTGCATTTTAACCATTTATCCATCACTTTCAAGTAACTGTTATCAATTGCTTCTATTTTGTTTTATCCGTTAAATTCTCAGCTGCCTGGCATTTTCAGCATGTGGTGTTCAGAAGTCAAAGCTTGATTAATATATATAGTTCTTAATAAAAATATATATATTTAGAGATAAAACGTAGCTAATTAACATCAAGGGGAATCGTTTTATTTATGTTCTGTGGACAAGTATGTTCATGAAATGGACTGACAAGTATCACTCAGCACTTCTTATACTTCAAATGCCACTAGTAGCGAAGCACATGATTGCAGACGAGGGGTGAAGAGGTTCAGTCACCTCTCTTTCCTCACTCACTTCTCAGCTCCAGCAACCAACGGCTCTTTAGGAGGAAATGTGGCATTTTAGGATTCAACATAATCCTAAATCGACTGTTAGGTTAAGTTAAACTTAGGTGTCTGTTTCTGCACGGGTGTACACAAGTTGTCCCTTGACTTGTGTGTTTGCAGCCTAAAAATACTCCTGATTCCACATGCCGCTTTAAAGCCCGTAGAGCCGTTTTCCCTTTGTAATAATCTCTCCTCCACCATCCATCATGTAGGTGGTTAAACTCTCATCGGGCTCCGCACAAACATTTCGGTTCAGCAGTCAAAGCACTTGTGACTTGCATCACGTATTCCAGGTGACCTTTCTAAAGACCCGGCCGTAACCAAAACAATCATAAACACTGAGATAGTTTGAAGGGAGGCACGCAGAGCACAAAGAAACCTTGTCTCCAAACCGGTAATTGACAGTGCGTGATGTCCTGCAGTGCGCTGGCTCTGAAGGGACATGTTTGTACAAAATTAGTTATCAAACTCAAAAATCATGAGAAAACAAGACTTTGATGTTATTGAAAACCTATTAATATACATCTTAAAATGTAACGTCCATGTATTGGGCAGTATTTATGAGAACGCATATTTTCTGGGCATTATATTTGACATTGGCACCTGGAGGCTGACCGCTTATCTCACTTGTCTTGTTTCTTTTTTGGCCTACTGACTCACTGGCAGCAGTTGGACCTTTAATTATAGCAACCGCGGCATTCCTTTCTGACAGAATAGGGGGAGATAGGCAGAGAGGCCATGGGAGGGCAAGTGTGAGCCATATAGACAAATATACAAAAATAGAGAAAGATTCAAGATAGTCAAAGATGGACAGCAGTGTCTGTTGTGTGGTTTAATTTCATTAGGACGGGGAGGCAAGCAGACCTTATTAGGCTACTATAACTCTGCTGCTGTGTCTTGATATTTGTCTCTTTCTTTTCCTAATGCTAAGACCGAACAACCACCATGGGCCAGAAGCTGGAGAAGCTATCGGAAAAAGACGAAGAGTCGCACACTAATTCAGAATGTTCTGAGCAAACTGGAGAGACAGAACAGTCGGAGACAAGAGAACAAGATGAGAGCATGCATCAGGACGAAGGCAGTTTTGCGACCCCTCAGAGTATTGATGGGATTAGCGGGAGCAATGTCAGTGGCCTGGCGACCGGGCACGCAGGGGAGCACGCAGTCACTTCTGCACGTCCAGACTCCCAAACTGGGCAGCCAATCAGACCTCTGTGTCAGGAGGAGCACCCGCTCAACACTAGGGGAGAGTGGGTGGGTGGAGACAGGGAGAGCCGGAGTGTCACTCGAACTGTAGCAGAGTCAAGAACTGTTCTGAGACTGAAAAACACCAGAAAAACTTTAATCCAGAAGCAAGGCTCTGAGAGTGACGCTGTGGTCTTTACGAGGACTACGGCTATGGAGGAGAAGGGAAATGGGAGGAAATCTGAAACTGGCTGCAGCAAGTTAGATCCTGACACTCAAAGCAGGGGTCTGACAGCATCAGGTGATCCCACCAATGACGAGGATTTTGTGGTGCTTGATAAGGATGAAACTTGGATGTCTTCTGATGGAGAAAATGATCCTTTTGGTGACAGGATAAAAACAGATAATCTTCAGTCATCCAATAAAAGAAGAGTTGAGGAAGACGCTTCTGCTACTTACGGTGACAGTAACCTTTCCCAACCTTCCAGGAATAACCCTCAAGGGAAATGTCACGAGAATAAAAGCAGAAGAACATCCGACACGCGTTTAGTGGGGACTGAAAGTGTGGAAGCACGTGTTAGAAGTTCACCCGCTGCCTGTCTGGAGAGCGAAACGGGTCAACATTTGGCTGAAGTGACAGGCAGCAGGTGTCAGCTAAAAGGAGTCAGTCATTTGGGGGCTGACTACGCTGAGACAACTGGGAGAGGAAAAGCAGAGAGGGAGCAAAACAACAGCAGTAGGTATTTTGGAAACACGCTTGATGAAGCAGGTTGTTTGAATGCACAGGGAGAGCACGGTGGGCAGAATAAGGAGGACAACAATTCAGAATTTGCTGTACAAAAAACTAAAGTTAATAAATCCTTTCTGAACAGGTTTGCTGATGCTGTTTCTCGGAGAGCTAAAGCAGGCACTGTTAGTTCATGCACTAAGACAGATGAAGGCCAAGCATTAACAAGAGCAGCCGACTTGCACCCCCAAAAGGCCAAGGCCCATAGTTCTGAAATACCACAGCAAGACCATCCCTTATTTTTACTCGAACAATGTGATGAGATCCCTTCTCTTCCGCTGCCAGGGAATGAAGGCTGTGATGGAAAGATACAGATAGCAAACTCAAAGAGAGAGAGGGAGCTTGTTTGTTTCTCTGCCGTCGTGACTTCTCCACCTTTAACTCATTTATTGACAAAGAAAGACACTATAATGGAAACACAAATCGATACGAGCGTGGCCAATTCACAGATGCCCACCTCATGCAATTCAAAGGATGAGTCTGTGCCAAAGGAAAAGCTCAAAGTTAAAGGTCCACCTCCGCCTGTCCCCAAAAAGCCTAAAAATCCAATGATAAAGCTCAAAACTGCGCAATTAATGTCCACTGATGTGCAAAGAAGAAACAAAGCTCATCTGAATTCTGAGGAGAGGGTCAAGAGAAGACACACTTTTCATTTTAACAAAGACTTTCCAGGTAACGCACCAACTAATCAGGACATGTGTTTGCTGTGGGATGAAAGAGGCCCTTACATCGTGCCAACCAACATGCGTCGGCTCTCCGTTGACCTTGAGCCGTGTCAACATCTTTTACACATGGATGATCAGTACAGCGATATGATCGACTACAACTACTGTGCGCGCATGGCTAACCTGTCTCCGGATAGAGAGCTGCAAAACCTGGACATGACACAAAGAAGAATATCCATAGGGAGACGATCCAGCTATAACAGCTCACCTCCTCCTGTTGCGAAAAAGCCCTCAAATCCCTTTACGTCCACAGAAATTCCAGAAGTCATGTCTGACATGGAAATCCACAGACCAAGACCTGCTTGCTCACGGAGAAGAGAAATCTACCCCGAGCCCCTATCTGAGAGAGTCAACACACAGGTCAGCAACGACAGCCATGCTAACTACAGTTACCGTAAAGATGTCACGGTTCATGGTGGAGATAGGGATGCAGCATATGACAGTGAGGTGGGCTCCTACAAGCCTGTGTCAGAAATTGTCAAGGAAGCAAATCAAATGCAAAGACATCAGGGTCGGGTCAAACCTGAAGGAGTCAAAGCTGAGGTTCGAGTGGCGGAACAGGGTCCAAGTGTGAAAGTGTCCCAAATAAAGAACGCCTTTGATGTCCCCAAGAAATCCAAAGAGAGACCGCCAGAAGTGCAACCACCTCCAAAAAAAGGTAAGGACTTGGGTTTACTACCTGCCCAGCACTAAACACCAGACAGACAAAATAAGCAATTAGCTGGTGAAGCTAGTGGAGCATTTAGCTGCTAAAGAGACAGATATTTCCTGCAGTATGTCAATGTTTGACTTGACAAGTCTACATGAAAGCTAATGCTAATATAAAATCAGAAACGTTCTGTTTTTGCTGATATTTTAGTTTTAGTTGTACTTAACTAAAAGCAGCTGATGTGTTCAGGCTCAATAAAAAAAACTGTCAGTGAGGGAACAACAGGATCACAGTTCCATAAAACATGACATCTAAACTTTTAAACCTAATTCTATTCAAAGTCTTGTTTTTCTTGTCTGGTTGAGAGAGTAATTTAATAAAACACCAAAGCAGGATTTTCCCAGACAATGTTTTTCACATGGTTCAACTATGCCTTAGTAGCATTTACATAATTGTTGATGAAAAAAAGGAGAAATGCCTGTTTCATATTCCCGTCATTGAGTCATTCAGTTGCTCCTCTTGACAAACCATCCTCTTTTAAATCTCAGCCCCTGTTCGCCTCAATTTTCTCCCACACTCAAAACACATGCAGCTCTTTACACTCACTGCTAAGTGTAAATTTGAGTATTCATGTGTTCATCCATCCTGATTATCTCAGTTGCAGTTTTGGAAACTGCCCATGTTTTCACACCTTCTGCTGACTCACACTGGGACCGGCTCCAAGATCCTCTCCCATAGAATAAAGCAAGTTCAAAAATAGGCAAATAAATGTGGTTTGATTCTGCTACATGTCCCATTTATTCATTTACCAAAAATTTATTGTTTTTTATTTTAGATACAAGATTTCACAATACTTTCTCAGTAACTTGAACCACTACAAATCCAACTCAAGGTCAACTTTCTATCTTTTTATCATGTTTTTTACAACAGAAAGTCGTCTCAGGTGTCAAATATGATCTGCTGACATACGAGCAGTAGCTGTTGCAATCCATTAATCAATAACACTTATAGGTCTTATCTGTGGTGGGTTTCTGAAAGTGAATTCTAGACCTTGAGGAAAACTGTGTGATATGATTCAAAGTGCTGGAAAAAATCCATTGAATTGTAGCTTGAGAATTAATTATTTTGTCATTCTGTTGTTCCTAATGGAAAGGAACAACAGAATGACAATAATTGAAACAATTTCCATGCTTGTTTTACAGTAACACTTTCAGATTGTGTATTCATCACTAACTAATATCCAACACTCTTTGGTTTAGTTCTTTTGCTTGGTTTACTTTTACGAGTCACGATCTCAGCTGATTAGAATTAACTTAAAAACTTGAAAATGCTGCTTTCAAACCTGTCTTTTGTGCGGTTGCTGGAAAAATGAAACATGCCTCAACATCCGCACTTCATGTTGTAGTGGAGAACAAGTTCAGCAGGTTTCGACACAGTAAAGGAGAATAATGGGAGGAGAGAAATGTCCTTTGTGCAGCTGTCTAAAAAATGAAACATGCCTCAACATGGAGGACATGTTAAGCAGGTTCCAATACAGTATAGGAGAATAATGGGAGGAGAGAGAGGGAGAAAATGGACTGGCTTATGGGGCAGCACATGCAACACATTAAGGTGTTAACATCTATGAATAAATATTTTATAAACATATATTAACGTTTTCACTTATTTTAGTCATCTATTTCTCCAGCACACCTCCCTGCTTGAGTAAAGATTTGTCTTCCTCACACCGATCATCATCTCACAACAACATTCAAACTCATCTGACTTTTTGTAATTTGTATAAAAAGAACTAAATAATTGAAAGTCAGTTTGTGTCTAATACCAAATTAGAAACACGTGGCCTTTATCTGTATTCACATATAAACATCAGGTTCAAATGAGAGAATCTGTGGAATAAACTCGAGCAGTTTGACAATTTAATGAGCCAAAGATTGGAAATATACTTTGAAAAACATCAAATGTCAAATCAAATATACTTTATCGGCCCCACAGGAATATGTTTGTCTTGAGCCAAAGTGCTACAGCACCTGCAGAACAGGATATTGTGCAACAACCAACAAAAAGCAATACACGCCCCACTTCCTGACAAGGCAAACAGGTAATGGTTGACAGCTGATTCTCTGGGATGTTTGTGATCTTTGGGTGGTGGGTTTCTTTATTGTGTTTGAACAGGACCTGCTGTGGTAGGGATGGGACACGGAGGGGGGGAGGGTAAGAGGGACCCTGACTCAAAAGATGTTGCTGGCTCATAAAAGCACATTTCAACAGATCGGTGTGGGGGGGGTGAAATCTGACTTTTTCTTTTGCGCATGTGCAGTAGCTGGTTTCCACAGCAGCCTATTGAATTTAATAACGATGAGAATAGACGATTGCTAGTCTTCTACCGCAGGTGAGGAGCGGACAGGGGGGACGCTCCATTCGTGCACCGGCGTCCTGAAACACCACTCGATTTAAAAAACTAAAACAAAAAAACACAGGGGGTCTGCGGACAGTGAGGGGGAGCAAAGCGGCTGGGGCTGTTTTCTGTGGAGACACCAGAGCAACGTCCTGCAGGAGAAGGGCGCGACTCCTCCACCACCACATTCATGTGTTGTGATTGATTCCCCCCCCGTGCGTTCGAAAATCCTGTATAGATTGAGGAGGAGGTAAGACACATTGATAGACACAAGTCTTTTGAGCTGTGTGCATTTTCTCTATGAGACGTGTGGGTCTGGGCTGTGCAGTATATCCGTCGCTGGACGGGATTGAGAGCGGGAGCAGCCAAAACCCGTCGGGCTGGAAATGTCTGCACTTGCGTCAGTTGGCGGTGCTCCACCGCAGCTCGCAGCTAGCCTAGCTTAAACCGAACCGTGGTTGCGAAACACAGGGTCGGGCTGGAGGGGGGTGATTTAACGCTGTAGCCTGGTTAGGAGGCTCCGCAGTGGTTTAACTCACCGTGTTGTTAGTGGTGGGGTGTTTTCAACGTATCGAGGCATCACTCGTCTCACCTCGCCTCTTGGCGGTGCCTCTGTCTCAGCGGTTGTGGAGACCATCCCCCGGCACAGCTGCCGGAGCTGGGGAAAGCGCCGCGGAACACGGGCGATGAAACACCCGCCTGTCTCCCTGTTAGCATTGTAGCTACCTTTTAAATAAAACACCTTATTTTATTAAAGTGAATACCTCATTCAGACCTCAAGCTTAGTGGCGTTTGTGAGTGAGAGTCACATCTGGGGCGTACTCACCTAAATATCAGTCTGCTCAGCCGGTCCTGACCCCCTTGTGTCGGTTGTTAGCTAACTGAAGCTAACAACGTTACCCGCTGGGTTTTTAAACCCGCTGCTTAGTTCGGGGTTAAATATCACACCTGTGTGTCACCATCACCTGGATGATGCGATTTACAGCATCTTGTTCTAATGGAGGGAGGATGGGGAGGGGGGGGGGGCACACGGTTAGCTTTTTGCTAACGTTAGCCAGCGGCCACCATTGTTTCACTGTGCACAGCTGCTCCGGGTGATTCGAGATCAGACCGTGAATCCAGCACGTGTGTGTACGGACAGAAGCGCGCCGGAGATGGGAAGAGCTCCGGCTGAGGAGAGGTGGTGGTGATGGGGGGGTTTGGTGGCGGTGTGCACACCCATTTAGTCGCATTGTCCAGACACTGGAAACAACAGACTTGGAGGGAGGAGGAGGAGGGTGATGGAGGCAGATGTTGACTACACCTTGTTAACGACAGCAGTGTTCCTTGGATCATCATATTTTAGCATTAGCTGCTGCTGCAGCAGGAGAATCAGTGAGGGCACATCCATCAGCCAGGCCTCCGTGATACAGATCAGTCCCGCTGATGGGGGTGCAGAGAAGAGAGCAGCATGTTGTTGTGATGCATGACATCAAGTGAAGCTTGCACGAGCTGAAGCTGCTCATCTCATCAGGTGCATGTGAGGAGGGAGAGGAGCTTCTCTCGCATGGAGGCTGAACACCGGCTGAGGGAACACACTGTTCTGTGAAAACTGTCCAAGCATTTGCTGCTTTGCAAAAGCCTGGACAGTGATCATGACTCTGAGGGTCATGGTTCTGTGAATCAAGGCCTTTAGAGGAGGAGTGTTTAATTCATAAGACGTGTCATGGCCAGTAATCCATTTTAAAACTGATAATTATCTCACATTATCACTGATTAAAGTATCTGAGGCTGCGTGTTAGAGCTCAACCAGTTTGGCTGATGATAACGGCTGATATGAGCTAAGGGGGGGTGATGTGATCATCAATAATTAAGATAAATGTCACATTGCATTTAATTTTATTAAGTAAACATTGCAGAAAAGATGTGTATTTATGTTTACATTATATATTATAAAGGAGTTTATTTTCTTGATTGAAGTCTTATACATTTAATTTAATTAGCCTCTTTTTAATTTCTAGTTATTTATAATAAAGTTGATATATTAGGTAACAGAAATTCTAACTCCCGTATATCGGTGTCAGCATTGGCCCCAAAAAATCCACATCTGTCCAACTCTATAAGATATATAATATAGTTATATGATCTGTGTCCATTATTTATATATGCTATTTTGTGTCAGACTTGTAATTTGGGATGAAAATACCATCTAATTGTATAAAAACTAATTTGAATGTGTTCAACATATCCACTGTTCCCTCAAGCTTCTTCTTTCAGGTCAAATAACTGAAAGCACTTGTGAGGTTGTATGAGGATACTGGCTTTATGGTTCTAATATTGAATTGGTGTTTAAGTATCATAATCATTAAAAAACACAGAGAGATTTGTTTATAATTATATCTTCAATCTTTATTTTGTCATGTTCTTTGCAAATCTCTTAAAATGTTTGGGTGCACGAAAGCAAATTTTCTATGTTGGATCCAGAAGCCTGTGATTCATCTTCTCCATTTTCATAATCTGTGATTGAACATGAAGAAGCAGGTGTGATGACGACTTGTGGGTAACTGGTGAAAAATCTCAGCCTCTGGTATAACAGACTGCCAGTGTAATTACTGCCCTGCAGTGCTGTAGTTTCCACATGAATACACTGCAAAGCATGTCACTAAAACTGTGAAATATCACCATCACTTATGAAAGATGCAGGTTTTTGGAAGAACAATAGATGATGCTAAGAAAAGGCCGGTTCCTCCAGGAATTACTGTTGTGTTTGGGTTTTCATGACACGGCTGCAGATCTCAAGAAACCAACACTCGACTCTGACGTGGGAACATTTGTCTGTACTTGATGAATCTCTGGAACAGAAGAGTGAGAGAGCTCAGAGCCGCAATGAGAGCAGAATTTAAAGCATTTACAAAAGCTTGGTGCAGCAACAGGCCATCTGTGGTGTGCCCACTGTTTCAAAAATACAGTATAACGTCACTGATGACAGCTCAGAAAAAAACACCCACCTAATTTCCTGTGTCCATATGAAATAGAACATTGTTTTCATATGAGATTTTATTGTGCTTTTAAAATATTTTCAGGTTAAACCTTGAAAGGGTTTTTTTCACTGAATGAAACTGCAAAGTTGCAAATTTGGGTATTGCCGTCAGTTGCAGAATTGGAAGTAACTTTACGAGGCGTCATCATAAAGTCCACAAAAAATTTAATTTAATCTAATTGCAGTGAACTAAAAACTCTCTAGCAGATATCCATACACTGTGAAATGTAAATAAATATTACATTTCTTTAATTGGATCTGGAGTTGGAGGCAGTTTGATGAATATACAGTTGATATCAATCATAGTTGATATCAATCTTTCTACCTAAAGCACCAACATAGCAACAACCTCACATCCCCCTCACATGCCGAACTTGAACTCTTCTCCTCTCACACGTTTGGGAAATTGCGCTAAGATAAGGAGGTAAACACAGCTGGAGAAAAAAAGACAGTGTCTCATGTGTTCCAGTAGGTAGAGCTGATTTATTTGCTCTGCAAGCGCTGGAACAAACTGAGTCTCAGGGAATGAATGTAATCTCACATCAGACAGACTGTGCTGGCTGTACGCCCAACTTTCACTTCAAGGTTTCCTCAGCAAGCTCAGTGATGACAGAAAGATGCTCACTTCAGGATCTTATAACAGCCACTTTCAGTTTTTGTGCTTTCTGTACAAACAATGTCTTATGAGAGTGTATCTGGAGCTGCCGCTAGCTGTACTTGCTCTTATTTCTCTCTGCAGATATGTCGCGGCGAGTTGTGCGACAGAGCAAGTTCCGTCATGTCTTCGGTCAGGCCGTGAGGAACGACCAGTGCTATGATGATATCCGCGTCTCCAGGGTCACATGGGACAGCTCCTTCTGTGCCGTCAACCCCAAGTTTGTTGCCATCATCATCGATGCCAGCGGGGGAGGAGCCTTCCTTGTTCTTCCTCTACTAAAGGTCAGATGCTGTGCGAATGAAAAAGCTTTGGTTTTAAGGTCCATTACAGAAGAACTAAGGACCAGATTTGCACAACATATTAAAAATTTCCATTGGAATGAGTTCACTGAAGGTCTAAGCACAGCGTCCCTCTTAATCTGTGAGGTTGCTGTAATACGCTCAGATCAGTGGACACAAACAAGCTTTACAACACGATTTAAAGCTCTGCTCTTCAAATCTGCTCCTCAAGGGTGTTTTGGAAGTTTTAGTTCCGCTCTGGTGGATAATGAACAACAACTGCTCCGTCTGTGCCTCTACTCAGGCAGATGTCATGTAACATGTCCCTTTTTACGTATTAGAAATACCGTCCATGTAGTAGTTACTTGTATTTTTCTGAAAGCTGCCGTCTGGAATGTCAGGACACGATGCATGAATTCTGACTGAGTCTCTTAGCGTTACTGTAACTTGTTGAATTTCAGCATCTGCCTTTTTCGCCAAAAGCTCTCGATTGTCGTATTTCCAATTTGACGTCTTCGTCTGCGTCTTCTACATTCGGGCACTTATGTCCCCTGAAATGTTTGTATTCTTCCAGTTTTGCGTCCATGTGTGTGAAGGGATATTATTTATTCTCACATGGGCTCACTCTGATATTTTCTTGACATTTTACTTCCAGTAAAAGCCTGAGCAAGGGTCCAGACCCTGTCTGAAAGCAACTTGTAAAAGGTCCCATTACTATTCTGATGTCATGTTTTGAATCTAATCCCTTCTCTAACCCTACTCACATATGCTCTAACTAACAGATAGGATTAAACATCTGTATAACACTGTCTCTTGAAGTCCAAAGCTGGACACAGAGGGTGTAAAGTGGAGGTTGTAGCAGTGCACTGTCATGTTAAAGCCTTCAGAACATGTGGTGAATCAATTCTCTACAGGCGCAGTCATCAGTGCACTGCTGCTGTGACCCCGTGCTGCTGAACCCTGAGGCTCATATCGGTAGTAAAACCCCAGATAATCAATGTGCACATCTGCCTGATAGTAAAGGGATGTGATGTGTATCCTGTTTCACCTCCCTCGTTCAGCCCATGATACTCACAGGGGGCGGGGGGGCTAAGATTATTGTAGGCCACTGGGCTAATTAATTTATATTGTACACACTGTGTAAGTGAGTACATTTTGGGAACTATCTATCTATTTTTGAAAGTGTTTCAGCTGTAAATGTCAGTCGCTTGTTCTGTAGCCACGTATGAAGTCAGTTGTTCAATAAAAAAACAACATGATGATCATAGAAAACCGAAGAATTGCTCTTTCATCATTTAACTTGTATAGAATACAGGAAAAGCCCTGTAAGTGTAAACTCTATTGCTGTACCCCAGGTCTCAGCCTTGCACCCTTTGTAACACAACTGCCCTCTCTCCCTGTAGACCGGCCGCATAGACAAGGTCTACCCGACAGTATGTGGTCACACGGGCCCAGTGTTGGACATCGATTGGTGTCCTCATAATGACCTTGTCATTGCGAGCGGCTCCGAGGACTGCACAGTCATGGTAAAGTCACAGTTAATCTCTGAATATCATGTGATGCATGTGAAGATGCCTTATTGTGCCATATGATTTCCTGTTATTTAGAATCTTTTTAAAGGTGTAATGTTCAGGATTTGTTGACATCAATATATTTCCATCACTTCTTCAGTGTAAAAGTTTTTCGTAACTAGTGTTTTTCTATATTTGGCAAATACTCAGTTTTCCTGTCTGTATGTAAAGCTGCTAAGTTTGCTTTGCTTTGTCTTGTGTAGGTTTGGCAGATCCCTGAGAACGGGCTGGAGAATCCCCTCTCAGAGCCTGTAGTTGTGTTAGAGGGCCACTCTAAGAGGGTCGGAATCGTGACTTGGCATCCCACTGCTCGCAACGTTCTCCTCAGTGCAGGTAGGCTTTGTCCTCTGCCCTGAAGCTGAGATAGATATCCAGTCTGCCATTTGTCCACTGTGCACAGCTGAACTCTGTGTGATGCAGATTTCCAAAAATAAACTTGGAAACAGAGGTGTGTGCAGTCAGGCCGTGTGTGTGTCCATTTTAGGGTGTGACAACCAGATCATCATCTGGAATGTGGGCACGGGACAGGCCATGATCAACCTGGAGGACATGCATCCTGATGTTATCTTTAGTGTCAGCTGGAGCCGCAACGGCAACCTGCTCTGCACTGCCTGCAAGGACAAGAAGGTCCGCGTCATCGACCCCCGTAAGCAAAAGATTATGACGGTAAGTAGAAACACTGAGGGGATTATTTTTATTTTTTGGTGGGGGGGGGGATTAGATGCTTGACGTGTGGAATCATGTTTCCCAGAATCACAGACCATGTACGCAGGCACGGCCGACCAAGCTGACAGGTGTTTTTGTGTGTTTTCAGGAGAAGGACAAAGCCCATGAGGGAGCTCGACCAATGAGAGCCATCTTTTTAGCAGACGGAAACATTTTCACCACCGGATTCAGCCGCATGAGCGAGCGCCAGCTAGCCCTGTGGAAAAGTGTACGTCACAGCAGAGAATCTCTTTCAATCTGTCACAGAAACATTGGTATCCACACAACACTGCTTTTAAAGTGATGTTCAACTTTCATAGAACCTGGAGTTGTTCAGCCTGCTGTCCAAGATATGACTGATCAGACCATCTGTGTAACCTCTCCACTCCAGCAGGGGGCGCTGAATTCAAAGAGAAAATCTTTTTTGTGATTGTGATAATATATAATGTGAGAATTATTAGCAGTAATTGAAATTAATCACTAAATTACATTCTTCTGAACTGCGCCATTAATTGAAATGTTGAATCTTATGTTACCAGGACAACATGGATGAGCCAATATGCGTTCATGAGATGGACACCAGTAACGGAGTCCTGCTGCCCTTCTACGACCCCGACACCAGTGTAGTCTACCTGTGTGGAAAGGTGAGAGGGTCGTGTAATAAAGACACATCTGTTGTGTTCCTAAGAATCAGATTCACAGACTCACACTGGGCTCTGACTGTGTGTCCTCAGGGTGACAGCAGTATTCGGTACTTTGAGATCACAGATGAGGCACCGTTTGTTCACTACCTCAGCACCTTTTCCACCAAGGAGCCTCAGAGGGGCATGGGGTACATGCCCAAAAGAGGCCTGGATGTCAACAAATGTGAAATCGCAAGGTAGCTTTGTTTGTTTTTTTTAAAAGCAGCAAATATGAATATTTTAAAAGCTGTATTCAGATGAAATATTGCATTTTTGCTTTAAAAAAGATGGTTACATATATTTTTTTTTTTGATAATAGCCAGATGTAAACATGTTTATATCTTAAAGTTTATAACAACAATATAAAAATTATAATATATATGAAATATAAACACCTGGTAGTATTGAGTGGTAAGTAATAGACAAAAACATGATTGTATTCCCTTTAAGATGAAATTGAAATGAATGCAACTTCTCTTCCTGTTGTCTTGGCAGGTTTTACAAATTACATGAGAGAAAATGTGAACCAATCATCATGACAGTCCCACGTAAGGTGAGTCTGTTTCTATCAAGTCACAAATACTCTGTTCTTTCATTGTCTCTCTATATATCTGGCAATTTTCCTCCATCTCTACATTTCAGCATTTTGCACAATCCCTCTTCTCCTTGTGACATTTCCTGCTCTCTCCACCTTCCCAGTCGGATCTGTTCCAAGACGACCTGTATCCAGACACGGCCGGCCCCGACCCCGCCCTGGAGGCCGAGGGGTGGTTTGCCGGCAAGAATGGAGGCCCCATCCTCATCTCGCTCAAAGACGGCTACGTCTCCACGAAGAACCGCGACCTGAAAGTGGTCAAGTCAAACGTCCTGGAGACCAAGGCAGCGACAAAAGTAGAGAACACCCCGACTTTCCAGAAGCACGTTCCTCCACCAGCCTCAGCAGTGAGTGTTGAACGATGAAGAACACCTGCACAGCATTTATGCTTCTTTCTTTAGCGTTAGATTTTTAAAAATCATTTATTGCGATCTAACTAGGTTCTTAAAACAGATTGCGTATCCTCCTGTTCTTTTAAACTTGCACACAGCTTTTTCTGCTGACATGGGCACTCTCCCATTCACAGTAATTATTATGGTTGGAACAATTCACAGAAGTTATGGATCAGCACATACTTTGGTATTTGGGTCACAATTCAGTGGAGCAGCAAAGGAAAATGTTAAACGCTCCAGGCCTGTAAAGTCTGTACTTATTTTACCAAGATTAATTTCTAGATTTATTTGAAAATCAACAAAGTAAATATACACGTCCCTGAAATCTTTAGCAGCCTCTCAAGTTTCAAATGAGAAGTTGAGTTAACTCTCTGTGAATGTTTCAGCAGAAAATGGAAGACAAACTGGAAGAGGTACTCCGAGAGTTCAAGTCACTCAGGGACCGCGTCATCCTCCAAGACCGTCGAATCGCCAGACTGGAAGAGCAGGTCGCCAAGGTCGCCATGTAAGACGCGGCCCCTTCCCTGGTCCGCTCGTTGTTTTGGAGAGAAATCGAATGGACGGCGTCAGCCACGGCTAAATTCTCACGATTCGGCTACATTCAGCTCGACACCGTCTGCCAGGCGACGGGTCGGAGCCTACATTCCAAGATGAACTTTTTATTTTTCTCATCAACCTTCGGTTTTACATTTTGCCCCAACACACACTGAGAAAAGGAAAAACTCTTGCAGCTCATTTTAAAGAAAAGACATTTTTTTGTTAAAGGAAAAGTCTTACCTTTTTTTTGTTTTCAAATTGTGGTAAAACATTCTTATGTGAAGTTTGTACTTACTACTCTACTGTAGCATCAGTATTTCCATTGTTCTTTTTTTGTGTTGCCAAATATGAATGGTGTGCGGTTCCATGCACTGCTTTTACATTTATTTTCTATCCTGTTGTACATTCCAGTCACAACCTGGTAGAATGACTTAGTCGAGCTGGATTTTTTTAAACAATAGCTGTTGAACTTTTTTCCTCCCACCAGTTTGTTCATTGATAAACCATCAGATTTATGAATGTGGAAGAATTCCTTTGAAAAACATTTGCTTTCTGTTCTTCTGGGGATTGAAATTCAGCATTGGGTTTTAAAGGGGAGTGTGGGGTGGGGGTTTGCATCTCTCTGGTGTAAATGTCGTGCAAATGTAGTGGTGCCTCTCGTCACTGTCAAGGGTCAAACTAAAAGTCGCCCTCTCCGGTGCATATTTTGGTGTTGGGAAGGGACCACTCACCCAGCTTGTGTTTCACTGAACCCCCTGACAAACAGTTCTGTGCACATAATAAAGATTTTACACATGGAAACCTCCATTTTACCTTTTCTTATCTTGCCTTCTGTCCACACATATCCCTGCACGTCAGCGAGAGCCTCAGATTTATTTGATTTCTTCTCTGGCATCAGATGTGGATTTGAAATCTCTTGAGTTACACAGAGAAGAAACACGGATGTTTCAGGCTGGTAATTCTACATTTATGAATACTTCTTCCACTGCTGAGGCACATTTGTCTTTCAAGATAAGATAAATCTTTATTGATGGAAAGGGAATTTCAGGTATTACAACAGCCCAAGTACAGAATTAAGACTGTTGTGGATGGAAGAAGAAGAAGGTGGGTACTGGTTACATTTCACTTCATGACAGCTCCGCGGTAACTTCTCAGTACTTTAATTATTTATTACACTATCTATTTGAATTAATCTGTTTTAATCATAAAATTGTGAAAAAAGTGTAGATTGTGCTCATGTCTCAAACTGGGACAACCAAATAATAGAAACACTCAGCTTCAGTTAGGTGTTCTTAATGTATTTGTTTATCGATTAGGATCCCTATAATCTTCCTGGAGTCCACCTTAAAACATCTGTAACAAATTGAAAATATTTAAAACCACCAAAATTAATCATATCTGATTCTAGACGATAATAACAAAACCAAAAGTGATAAATAAAAGTTTGCATGTAGATAGAGAACTAACGCTCGAGTGCAACTTTCACAACTTTTTGCAACATGGCAACATTCAAAACAGTGAAAACGTTTGTTATCTTCCTCTGCAGTTCACAACCACATCTCAGTGTGACTCATTGGTGAAGGAAGTGACGGTTATGATTTTCAGACCAGAGGAACATTTTTGTTTCCTGTCTCTTTGAAATGGTCGTCAAAACAGCACACTTCAGATTGATTGATTAAATAAATTGACTTTCAGGTTGATTATTTGTAGTTTCATTAGATGTGGGCAGTTAGACAGTGACCAGCTCTTTCTCTACGTCAGTGGAATCATTCTCTCATAGAATTCTATTAGGACAGGTTACAAAGCTAAGAAAGAGACACGGAACACAGCTATAACTATAACATGAACATTTTATTCTTAATTCACTTTGTAATGTGCTTTTTGAAATACTGTGCACAGTGGAATTTAGAGAGAGAGCCCTCGGGGTAGGTCAGGAGACAAATAAATATGAATATGTATGTTTTTAAACTAGTATATGAAGTGTATAAAGACACGAAGAAATATATGCAGTGTGAGGATATGTACAGTGAATGGATTGCACATGAACCGTTGATATTG